TGTGAAACTCAAAATTTTAATTCAAGGTGTGAAATGGTAAAATGAGTAACTGGGTGGGCTAAGAAATGAGGGATATAGTTCAGAGGTTTAATTGTAATTTGTTCTTAAGAAAATTGGTNGGGACAATGTGAAACTCAAATTTTTAATTCAAGGTGCGAAATGGTAAAATGAGTAACTGGGTGGGCTAAGAGAAATGAGGGATATAGTTCAGAGGTTTAATTGTAATTTGTTCTTAAGAAAATTGGTATTATTTAAGTCACGTAAGTAATTCACCCATAAAAACAACCATATCTAATGCAATACAATCTCTTTTGTCGTGATAATGTCATTAGTGGTACAACTAAGGCGGGTGAACCGGTTCGACATTTTTTTTTATGTCGATTCTCTTAGTAGATCATTTCTTTATTGATTTGATCAATAACAAATAATATTCAACACGAAATGAACTTTAAATTATAAAATAATATTTAATTTTATCAAATTGACATTTAATTTTGTCAAATTAATATTTAACTTTTTTGAATTAATTTCAAATAAATTTTACTGTTATCAAATTAATATTAAAATTTATTTAATCAATTTTTTAGAGTACTAAATTATATCAAGTTTTTGGGTACTAAATCAAATTTTGTTTGATTTTAATAAAATTTTAATTTTTTTGGATACCAAATTTAGAGAAGGGCAATTGTGAAAATAATAAAGTCTTGTGGGATGAAATCATCACTTTTTGTTAGTACATTGAGGGAAGGAGTCTCCATATAATGAGTTTCAAATTTTAGGGGATTTCCATATTACTTGTAAAATATCAGTGGTATCTGTATAATATTGTCAAAATTCAGGAGTATTTTTTTTTTTTTTACCCTTAAACGAAAGATTAAATCGATAAAGAAAAATTAATAAATTTAAATTTAATTTTATTGGATTCGGGTGATAATCGGTTCAATTTAGCAAGTCTATCACATATATAGATCCGTCGAAAACCAATTAAACATGAATATGTCACAATAAAAACTTGACTAAACACAATTATATATTTTGATACGACTCCAACTACCTACTTTAACAATCACCAGCACGCAGCGAATATACATGCGTATTCAAAATTCACGACCTTTTTACATCTTAGTACCTACTAAAAGTTCTAAACAACAAATCTATATAGAATATATAACAATGTAGTTGGTCGGATGAGGTCCAAAATTCCAACCCAATTTTCCTGAATTTTTATTTTTTAATATTTTAAATTTGATTTGGTTTTACATTATTGAAATTTTTTGAATAACTTAATTCCTAAAAATTTTTAACTGTCCCAAGTTTCTCTCTCATCATGTCCCATTTTTCCCGTCTCTCTATCATACATAGACTCTCTCTCCTAAATCTATATTTACCACATACTATAGCAATCAATTTAGGCTTGCTTATGAAACTTTACCTCATCTAGTATTATATTTTTTTAACAATGCATTGATCTTATCAAATTAAATCTTTGCATGTGACTTCTACAATTACTCCCATACAACTATCTTATTTCATCATTCTTAATTTAGCACAGTAAAAAATGAACTAGGGTCCGGGTTGTGGTCGGGTCGGGGGGGGG